CTCCGCGTAGTTGTCCCCGGCTCGCGCTGGCCTCTTCTTCCGGGCCCCCAAGTGCCCGCGGCCCCGCCCCTCTCCGCTCAGGGTCTAAGGGGCCGCCCCCTAGGTAGGTGTCCCTTGCCACCCACCTCTGGGACTCACCAGGGGGCAACTCCTTCTACGGATGGAGGCCAAGTCTGAGGAAAGTTTCTGGAGGTGTCAAGGGTCAGCCTCTTGTTGTAGGGGCGTCCTCTAGCCAAGGGATGGAAACTCAAGCGGTTCCTTCTGCAGGTTCTGCTGACATCACAAACCACACGTCGCTTGGGGTCGTCTCTTGTGGTTTGCACGAAGACTCTCCATCATTCCTGCAGTCTTCTGCACGTTCACCTTTCAAGGCCCCAGACTAGTGGCATATGAGCCAAAGGGTTAAGGAACTTAATTTTAAAATAAGCAATTAGTATTAGAAGCCAGAACGTCTCTGCATGTTAGCGCTGCACCGAGCTCTAAGTACGTTACCTCTGAATAATTCAGATCTTCCGGCCACCAAGATTATCTAGGCCGATCACTACCGTGCACCTCCTCATCTCCAGAACTTTTGGCCCTTTTACTCTTTTATTGCTTCTTTTTCATTTTATTTCATGTGATGTGAAGGAGGGGTGAAAATAAGATGCAACAAGACCAATTTGAAGAGCTTTTAACAACTGGTATAAAACTTTATGGGAGAGGCAGTCTGCAATCATTGAAAATAAGATTAGAAAATTACCCGTACACTGCTCTTCAGATTTACCGTTTTTGCTTGAGCTTGCATAATGCAGGGCTAGAGGTATCTATTATTTTTAACAGAAATAATGCCTTTCTAATAATTGTTAAGTAGATTAAATGTGTAGTATGGCTACGATGTCAGATCAGGGTAAAACTCTATTGACAGAAGAATGAACTAAAAAAACTGGTAGTATAGGAAACTCAACAACTCTTTGAAGTAGTAAAATTGGTTTTGTCTTAGAGTTTAAATAATATGAAGTAATAAGCTAGAAGACATAGACTCTTTATAGCTCTAGCAGTCACTGAGTGAAATTGTTTCCTTTTCAATATCTCTATTTCCTTCATCTGTTTCTGATTCTAATAGAATGTAATTTCAAGATAGCTCAAATGTCATCTCTAAAGCACTTGATGAAGGCTCATTGAGTGGCTGCCATTGAGCTTGGTGTAGATAATATGAGAGAGAACCAGGTAGATAGGTACAAGTCCTACCTTCCAGGCACTCACATTCTAATGGGGGAGACAAGTGCAAAAATGATTAATTACACCTGTGAAAAGCTAAACAGACAAGTGCAAAAATGATTAATTGCACCTGTGAAAAGCTGTATGTGAAGGTGTGGAGCACTAGGAGATCACACGCTCCAAGTGGCTTGACTTTTTAGATGGTTCTTTTGATTTAATTCCTGGAATTATTTCAAGCCTGCAAAGACTTTTGTTGTTGTTGTCATCCTTTTTTTCATAACCCATATCCAATCCATTAGTAAATCCTGATAGCTCCATCTTCAGAAGGTGCTCCAAGTTTAACTGCCACCACTGCCACTCTCTCCCAAACTAGCTTTGTTCACATGGATTTGTGAAGAAGCCTTTAAACTTGTCTTCCGGCTCTCAGTCTTGACCCTGTGGTCTATTATCCACATAGCACTCAGAGTGATCCTTTGAAAGCATATATATTAATATTAACTCATATCAACCCTCTGTTAAAACAACAACAATGGCTTCCCATTGCTCTCAGAATATAATAAAACTTGACCCTGGCCGCCAAGTCCTTACCTACTTGCCACTTCATCTCTCTTACCTCCTTCTCCACCGTGATTCCCTCCCATACCCTGCCACAGCCTCACTGACTTACTGTTGCTTTTTCAACCTCATTTTCCTGCCTCCAGGTCTTTGATCTAGGACTCTCTTCCTCGAAATATTTAGAGGCCTGGCAGATTTTCTTTGAAAAACTTGCCCATGGCGGGTCTTTCTGCCATGAAACTTCCTTTTTCTCTTCTTTCTCTAATAAACTTTTTTGAAAACTAAAAAACAAACAAACAAACAAATATTTAGGGAATTACTCCTCAGTTACATCAGATGTCTACTCCCATGTCTTCCATTAGAGAGATCATCCCTGACCGCTCACTCTACAACAGTCCCCTCCCTCAACCCCCTAACTCTTTGTTTTCTTAATTCACTTTAGTTTTCTTTTTAATACACACAGGAATGTGCATTCATGCATTGTCTGCTGTCTTCCCCTTAAAATGAGAACAACAATTGGTTATAGTGCCAGGCACATAGAAAGTACTTGATAAATATTTATTGTAGGCATATAAATTACGTTATAGAATTAATATTTGTGTTCCCATAAGACTCATATATTGAAGTCCTAACTCCTAAATGTGACTGTATTTGAAGACAGTCACATTTAGGAGTGCAGAGAACACATGTTCACATGGCCTTTCCTTCCTTAAAAGGAAAGTAATTAAGGTTAAATTAGGTCATAAGGGTAGGGTCCTGAACTGCTGGCGCTAGTGTCCTTATAAAAAAAGAAATCAGAGAGCTTGCTTGCTCTTTCCATATGCATAAAAAGAGGAAAGGCCATGTGAACGGACAGAAGGTGGCTAAATGCAAGTCAGGAAGAGAGCCCTCATGAGGAACTAAATCACCTGGGACTTTGGTCATGGCTTTGCCAACCTCTAGAACTGTGAGAAATAAATTTCTGTCATGTAAGTCACCCAGTCTATGGTATTTTGTTTTAGCAGATGAAACAGACTAAGACAAATTACAAAGAATATTATATAAAAGAAACAAGATGTTTAGATAAACTCTGTACTCACACACTATCACTAATCATTTCAAGGTTATTACTGCAACTGAAAGGTGCAATGGTGTGCCCTTTAGCCAATACATAACACTTTGTGGCACCTCCAAGAATAATTGAGTCTTGAATAATCTTATATTAACCTGAGAATAGAATAAGTGTTCAAGATGAGCAGATACGTTTTACATCTTTTTTGTTGTTTTATTCTGAAGTCATGAATGGTTGAAGATCATAGGAGAAAGAATGATCCAGTCACCATAGTACAAAATGTTATTTTCAGAGAGACTGCCACCTCTAAAGTCTACGAAAGTTCCCCACTGGTCATGCTGAAGGATTCATATACAACTGAGAGCCTGAACATAGCCATGACCCATTGATATTCAAGCAGAATATCGGATACTTCCAATGACAGCTTCAGTTACCTATGACAACTGTTTATATTCGTAGCCTCCAAAGTAGGCCATGGGAAATAAATAGCAGAACTTCTATTTATATTTTGTACTAAAAAAGAAGCTAAGCTCTTGCAAATGTGCAATATACAGATTGATACTGGAACCCTCACTTGCCCATAAGTCAGCAGGGAGGTCTCTTGTCCCCCCTTTCATAGGTTTCTGGAGAAAATACTGGGAGGTCTACAGCATGTAGGGGCTAACATGTGTTCTCTGCACTTCCTTTATTTTCATTGTGTTGCATCTTATTGATGTTCTTGTGTTTTCATTTAAAGAACTAAAGAGTCTACTATCCAGTTTTAACCAAATGAGAGAAATATCAAAATGGAAAAGTGGCTTTTAAGGATTTTTGCAAAGAAGATAACATCAATCATAAAAGCATAAGCAATAACAGGAAATTGGTAGAGTTAATCTTTTTCCTGTTGTATTTTTGGCCATCCTGGGAGTGGTTAACAGTGCTGATTATCTATCTAATTTGGTCTTACAAGAAGCCAGCTTCTCCCTCGCATTGAAATAATCAACAAGACATTTGAGATATGTATTTACATCTACTTTTATTAACAATGAACCTTGCCTTGAGTATATATATTATACTTTGAGATGTAAGCTAATGATACATGAAACTCTATGGTGAGCAATATATTAACAAATATGATCTATTTCATCAAGTTATTTTAAGACAATTTTATTTATATGTATGTTTTATAATGTATGGTGATACATTCAATAAATAAGCAATCTGATTAATAAATGAATAAATATCTATTTGGGATACTAACTGAACATTTTTAACTGACAGAGTGCCTAATGAGAAAAGTTTGGAAATCACTGATTTATATATCCAGGGGTAAAATAATTTATTAAAGCCCAGAGATGATGAAGAAGAACAAATAAATCCAACTTTTTAATCATAGAATATATACTGAAGGTATGAATTATTTAGCACTTCTCTCTTCTCTTTTCTGCCTTTTGATCATTCCACATTTTCATGGGAAATAACACGAGAAGAAAGCTTGCTAATTTACCATGATATTTGGCAGAGAAAATTGAATTTGCCAAATAAAAGAAGTTTTGGTTCTACCTAGGGGTTTTGACTACACTTTTATTCCAGTTTTGAATTTCTACAGATAATAATAATATGACTTGATATTCACTCATCTTCTTTAAGTTGGTTTTTCCCTTGCAATGAAATGTACCAAGAATCTGCCTTTTAAAGTATTACTCAAACATAGTCAAACTCTTCT